CAGCGGACGATGCGAAGAAATTTATACCGGTGATGATTATTTAGATAAACAATTTTAGACGCCACTCTCAATGTGTCTTTTATCATCTCAAGAACAATGATAGCACCCCCACTCGGTTTGTATGCGAGAATTTTCGCATCTTTGGTAATTTTTGTGCGAGAATTTTATTTTTTTGGCGAGAATCTCGCAGAATCGCGGCCTCGGCAGAACCCTGTACATGTACTGTATATTATATGTATAAAATATGATTCTAGGACAATTCCCCCCAGGCAACCCCCCCCCCCAAGATAACCCCTTCCTAGAGAAGAAAATACTCTTTAGTCTTTGAATGATTTATCTGAGGCATTTATGCATTTCTTGAATATACTACTACTACTACAACTAATAATAAGGGTTTATTATCCTCTATGAAATATATAAAAACATATATTGAATGAATATATGTCTTGAAATGGAATTGGGTTAAAAATATACCTTTCAAATAGATTTTAAGGGAAAATGAAAACACTAACAATAAAATATGTTGTTCCCCATTATTTAAAAGTTCATGATCACAATTCATTAGCATGTGTATAATATCAGCAATATGGTATAAAAGTCTTTCTATGTCGTTTGGTTCAACATTTTTGTAAAATATAACTATAATGATTCCTGAGGTCCTTTTCAATGACACTGGTGTTAGGTAAAAGATGGTTCAGTCTATAAGTATCTTATTTGATCACATTTAACTTTTTTTGCACAAGTTAGTACGGCAAGATTTCAAGATGGCCAATTTAGTATAATTTGTTTATTGCTGCATTGTAAGTACAGGGTATATAATGCGTAGAGCTCTTTTCTGGATGTTCTCTGGGGATTTAGATTGCTGCATGGCAAATATTATACTGAATAAAAGAAAGAAGACAGATAATGATGTGTTGGGTATTCATTACAAAATTCAGGAGGCTTACTTCTGTGCTTAAACAGACTGGAAAGGCAAATATAAGTTATTTGATGCTAAAGATGCAAATTATGCAAATCATTCCTCTAAAGGTATATTTTTACCCCAAATCCAGGTCTTTAATTTTATACAGTCCATCAAATACTGGTAAAAGAACTTGATTCCGACATTTTCTTTACCCTTTATATTAGTAAATATTATAGAGATTCTCTGTTATAACAGATAAATACTCCCATTGTATATTTGCTCTAATATATTAGTATAGCAAAATGAAACTTGCCTTTTACTGATATCCGTAATTAGGGTGGATTTCCTTCTGAAATGTAAAGGAATGCTTGATGGTGTAAATATCACAAGAAACATTTAGGACTAAATGTTGTAATTAAAAGTTTTATAAAATATTAGTCTTGTTTTATGGACTGGGAATGGTGGACATAGGCAATACATTTTGTCCTTATGAAAGAAAGTGAGATGAACATTTATTGGTGCAATAACTGTCTTTATTAATTTTTTAATATAGGGATTTCATATATTTTAAACTATTATCTGAGTAACAGATGTAGAACACAATGTTGGATCCTGGAAGTGTATGCCTTCTTGATGTATGGATTGATTTGCTGTACATAGATGGCATTCCTGATAATTAGATTATTCATTTAGTTGCATTGATCCGGGAGCTTTTCTCTTTACGTAATGTGATTATAGACTTCAGTGTATTGTAAAATTATGCATCATTATGCCAAATGGGTAAAAAATGCTGTACTGCACTTAGATATTTTGTGATTAAAAATTAACTAGGATTGTTTTATACATATCATGTAGGCAATAGGCTACATGTAACATTATATGTTACATGTACATAGCCTATTGCCTGTGATATGGTTGTGCTAACATTAGGGCAGTGAATGTAAGCCCAATATGATATTAAGTTCAGCTTGGTAGAGGAAAGAAAGACTGAACTAGATTTAATTACTTGCAGTTATTTGGCCATAATTTGATGGATTTTTATATGACCCACTTCTTTTTGAAATAAAAAATGAGTTGAGAAATACTTTCAGTTCTGACACTGATTACCAGCTTCCAGAGAAAGTCCCTTCTGTCACTAATAACATCAATGCCAGCCTCAAGAACCATTTATCAATATAAATTTTCATTAATCAATTTTAATGGCCAATATTTAACCAACAGCTTAATGATTTGGAATAAGTTTGAAGCAGTGTAAGTGGTCTGTCCTGGATCCATGTCACCTTGAAAAGATTTGTACTACATGTAGTAAGCAACATGGAGTTCCTACAGCATTTTTTCTATTATTATTTAGATTTTACATGTTTGGTACATAATCCACTACTTGTTTAACTTATCCAAGTACAAGTAATACTTATTGATCTAATTCATCACCTCCAGAAGAACTTCACCACATGTCAATCATCTTGACACGGTTTTGAATTGCATATAACCAGGAAGTCAGTGTGAGCATGATCTGAAAGTGATGGTGGAATAAAAAAAAAAAAAAAAAACACTTATTTGTGGATGAAGGACTTTTTTAATTTTTCCTGAGCACCATTAAAATGTGTTTCAGAGGTTGGTTCGCCAGAGAAAAATAGCGTTTATCTCAGGAAAATTAGTTAACAGCAACTTTTTGGCAGGGAAATCTTCCACTGGGTACCTATAAGTAAGGACTTATGTCAAATTATTTCCAGACTGCTAACCATATGCCACCATATACTGTCAAATAATATCAATTAATGAAATACTTCAGGGTTTTATGACATTTCCTGAAAAATGGTATTTGTACAGACATTTTCTGCTTACTTTCTGTGCTTTATGGACTGGATGAGGAAAAAGTAAGTTAAAATTACTACCAGAAATTTGAAGAAGGTACCATTTCAAAGCCTTTTTTTCTGGTGCTTGAGAGATTTCATTTTTTTTATTTTATTTTATTTTATTTTTTTTATATATTTATTTGTTTTGTGTAAGAAAGTGGTCCTAATAATTTATATTTGTTACAGAGCAGTACTCGTGCTTCTTATGTATACTTTAACAAACACAAGATTATCCATTAACAAATACTAGTAATTTGTTTCTTTGTTGAAATATCCAAATGCTCTGCTAATTTAAGACTCATAAATTGAGACAGGCGAAAGATGATTAACACTTTATGTTAAAGGGAAAAGTTGTCCTGATATTGCACACCACTAAAACAATAGTTACTAATTATATAATCATCTTGCGAGTGCTAAAATCTGTTGAATGTTATGAGAACTGAATGTGATAATTGATTGAAATACATGCTGTGAAGGTATCTATAGGTGAATGTATCTATAGTCAGAGATAATTATTCCTTCCAGGTAAAGCATCATGCTTTTCAAGAGATTGGTTTACCTGTGGACCAAGATGACATAGTCTACGTCTTAGCTGGCATTATCCAGTTCGTAATACCATAACCACCAGTAGTAAATTTGTAGTCTTAGAGAATGGAAAGCAAGGTGAAACCCGTCCAGATGATGGCCAGCTCTGAAACCTCGGAGAGCCAGGAAAAAGATACAAAAGAACAAGCAGAATCATCGTTATCAAATAAAGATGATAAAAACATGGTGACAGTGTCAGTGTTCACACCTATGGGTGCTCATGTGTTCTACTCTCCAGGAACACACAATACAATGGACATGGCCATTGAGCCTCTGGTCACATGCAGGCTCTGTTTAATGGAGTTGCCTGCCAGGGAAATGTATGAAATGCAGGATTGCCAATGTCTCTATTGTCAAATGGTAAGTTAAAGGTAAAAATTAAAAGCACTTAAAGAAAGACTGTTTACAATATGCACACAGGTGTCATCTGGACCATTATAATTTTTGTCTATCAATCCTTGTATTTAGATACTTGCACACCATGATTTAGGTATGACACACATTGGTGTAAAGCAGGAGTGGATGTCACATCTTTTTTTCTTATGGTACATTCCTCAATATGGCAGATTATGAAAAAAATTGTCTTTTTTCTTTTATGTCAGTTTAATGTTTAATTTTATCTTAATAAACATGCTTAATATCTAATTTTAAGGAACGTGTTATTTCTTTAAAGAGATTGAATTTGTATGAAGTGACAATTGATTTATTTTAAAGAGTCTGATGTAGTATTTAAAAGTCATGTATTATGTTATTGTCATACATGTAGGAATCGATATTTAGAAATGGAATTTTTTGTTTTTTTTTTGTTTTTGTACTTGACATGTTATTCGTAGTAATATTGTCTTCCTAGTGTGTAATCCAGTACCTGACTGTGATGATCTCAGATGGGAATGTGTTGGTCATCACTTGCCCAGATGCAAGATGTAGGCAGGGAGGAAAATTTTTACCATCAGAGGTATCTTTCCTGTTGTCATACATTTAAGAAGCTTACAGTTTCTGTGCTGTGTGTACAGTTTGATTAACATAGAATTTACATTGTATAGTTTGGAGGTAGTACTCATGAATTTTATGACACAAGATTTTTTGGTTCTATATATTGGTGTTCTAAACTACATGTGTGATGTTCTGATAACCACATAATGAGGGATTAGTCAGTGTCATTTTATCGTAGTGATATCTATTACACGGGTCGTTACCCTAATGTTAAAAGGATATTGATATTTTTGCTATGCAGTTATAAGAACAACATTATTCTTGTTAAAGATGAGTTCAAAACTGAAATGCGTCTCATTTTAACGGAGCCTGAGTCGCATCTTGGATTAGCAAACTAAAGAAATACTCCATAAACTGGTTATTTTTATAGTTTCTATATATGCCTTTGTCTTGTACTTGAGTTAAGACATACCTGCCACTTTAATCCCCTGGTTGACTTCAGATTGAGCAGTTAGTTGATACCATGACCTTCAAGAGATATCAGAGATTGAAATTCTCCAAAGGTTAGTTGACATTTCCAACAGTTACATAAAGAAGATTGGGTCATGTTCTTTTAATGACAAACACTTGAAACAGTAATTGTTTTTAAAAACCAAACATTTATAAATTGATTCTTTAGGTAAGCTGCAGATGGTTGTTTTTATATGCTCAATGCCAAAATTTTCAATGTTTCACTTACTGAAGGGTCTCATTACCAACAATTTGTATGTGACTAGAATTATAATAGAGAATAGTCCTACCTTTCTTATCCCCCATAAGATAATTCTTAATATTACATGTATGAAAGCAATTTTTGTTTTTTGTTTGCCATTAACTAACAATAATAACCAATTAATGATAAACCCGGTCTTTTGTTTGTCATTCCAGAAGTAGATCTAGATCCTAGTCGCATGTGGTGCCCAGAAATTGGCTGTGAAACTGTGTGCCATGTGTGCCCCCTCAGTGACAAGAAGAATGTACAGGGTATACCTGTGAAGTGTCCTAAGGTAGTGAAGCACTATTTGAAATGCATTTTAATAATGTGTACGTGGGGCAAAAAGTCATGTCCAGCCTTAAGAGCTCCTTGGCAATAATTGAAAGAAAAATCATAGTGTTTTTAGGATGAGAATTATGGAAGTTTAAGGCTTCGTTCACATGGAAGGTCTATTTTCTAAAAATCTATTTTCTATTTGCAGTATCTTATGATCACGGTCTGTGCCCTGAATGTACCGCGGCGTAATTACTGGCAGTGTGAGCCAGTAACTTATACAAAGCTGTAATTTATTCTCGGCTGTGCTCGCATTCTATAAAATCTCATCCTCCGTTGCCGCATCGCTTGCCATCGGATCATGACGGTTGCACTTGTATCTGTCGTGTATAGCTTCTTCATCTTCTTCATCTTGTTGTTGCACAAAATCGACAAAAACATTTTTCAAAGCAACCGCGACCGCCATTAACTTTCTAACTTCCTACTGCGCATGCATCAAGGTATCAGAATCTCCTCCGAGCACAGCCGAGAATTAATTACAGCTTTGGAAGTAACTTGCTCGCGCTGCCAGTAATTACGCCGCGGGATATTCAGGGCACAGACCGTGATCACAAGATATACCGCGAATAGAAAATAGATTTTTAGAAAATAGACTTTCCATGTGAATGAAGCCTAAGTGTACATCCAAAAATTCGATGTTTAGGCAAAAAATATACCTCTTTTTTTAGTGCTACCTAGAGTTTTGCTCAATCTGCAAGTCCAACTGGCATGCTGATGAGCCATGTGATGCTTACAACAGCAAGGTCAAAGGTCATGATGCTGGGTGAGTTGGTAAAGACAAGTGTTTTACTTCACAGATTGCTTCTGTTTACTCTCCACTTTTCATTGTTTGCATCTGATGATTTCTTCTTAATGACAAGCTGAACAATAGATCCACACATTTGTGTGCTGTAATAATGGCAACCCTATTCTTAAAAGGTGTGTTTGGAGTATTTGTATTGATGTTGTTGTTGTATTTTTTGTTGTTGTTGTTTTTATTTATATTATTGTTAAAAATATTCACCTCAAATGATTAATGCAATTCACAACCATGCACCAACCTATTAGATATGAAGAAAACTATGAACTCAATCCCTGCTCTGACATTTTCTTTTCATAATATTTCTGTTATAACATGTTTTATGAAAAATGTTTCAGCATACCCATCAGCAGTGAGGAAGAATCCAAGATCAAGCGTTGCCCCATGTGCCACATTCCAATAGAACGTGCCGATGGCTGTGCACAGATGATGTGCCGTCAGTGTAAACATGTCTTTTGTTGGTACTGTTTACAGTCATTACAGGTAAACACTACATCTTTTTGACATCATCAAAGCACACTTTCCTCAGATGATTGACAAACAGTTTTCCCCATGAGTAAGGGGATTTTCTGTCTTCTTTCACAGTGTATGATCAGCAATGTCTTCGTTTCAAATAATTCATACATGTTTTATCTAAAGAAAGTTTGTTGAATGCTGCTTACGTGTATATTATGAAATATATGCTTATTTAAACATTTTAAGTGGTTTTCATGGATTATTGTTTTGCCATACATTCAATTTTGTTTTCATCTCCTATAGGATGATTTTCTCCTCCGCCATTATGATAAAGGTCCCTGCAAGAACAAGTTAGGTCACTCTAGAGCCTCCGTGATGTGGCATAGAACACAGGTATATCTCATCTTCGTTGGTTTAAGTTGGGTTAAAAATAGGGTTTAAAGCTAGGTTTATACCATGAGATAAACCTAGCTAAATGGTCTCTTTACATCAAGTTTCCTGGGTTTTTTCCCCCTGTGTTTTAATTTATCAATAGCAATGACCATGTAACTTTGACATTCTGCAGGTATTCTTTACGTTTCAGGTTGTTGGCATATTTGCTGGATTTGGCCTGCTTCTTCTGATAGCTTCACCATTTCTGCTCCTGGCAGCTCCTTGTTTGCTGTGCTGTAAATGTAATGCCTGCAAGGCATGTGCTGAAGAAGAAGACGTTTGACTGCAAAAGAGAAATCTGATACTCACCTGCTAGGTCCCAGTTTAATTGTTGATCATTGTGAATGAGATCAAACTGGTGATCTCTATAGTACCAGTAACAGCCGGCATTTATTTGTTATTTTATTTATTTATTCAGTCATGTATTCACATTGAGTCTTTGAAAAAAAAAGACTTATATTACTAGCATGGCCTGCTCTAAGGTGAACCAAAAATGTATTTGTCAATTACTCATGCCCATATGTCAAAGAAAATGTGCAAATGATCTGAGTGTAAACCAGTATTTTAACTTTATTGACTCATTCTTTTTTGGCGTGTGGATATGTGAGGTTTTGATTGACAGTGCACAAGGAAATATACCAACTGTAATAATGAACATCAATGATGAAGCAAGAAATGGCAAGGTTCAGGTTTGATTTACCCAATCATAAAAAGCTGGTACTTGATAAGGGTTGTGGTAGAGTGGAATTGTCACAGGGTCTGTGAAAAACATCTGTACAGGAAAACGCATGAAACGAGGACAGTTGGCAAAGTGCAAACCTCTGAGAGGTAGAGTAGCATGGTAAGTGTAACCCAGAACCTGTGGGAGGTAGTAGCAAAAAGGGGTGGTTTATCATCCACCATGTCTCACTGAATATGATGTCAGATTTTTTAAATTGTAAAGGTGCACACACAAATATTTGTATCAAAAAAAGTATATTAATTTGACAAATGGCTCTCTCATAAGTATTCCATGTATGTGTTCTATTGTCACAATAACCACTTTAAACTTTTTAAAGGAATTTTATTTACAGTAAATTTAGCATAACTGTGACACTTTTGGACTGAAAAATGTATTTATGTTGCAGTATTTTCATAATTTTCAGCTAAGGCCAATACAAAAAAAATCCATTCCTCAAGATTTGTTGAAGATGAAAGATAAGTTAAACGGTGACAAGATGTGTGATAAATGCTGTAATTTTTGTGTGCAGACACTGCATGTGTCTGTATATATTCTGATCACTG